TATCAAATGGAAAAGTATTAGTTACTGGTGGATTTGGTTATACTGGTGCTTTAAATAGTGCTGAAGTGTATGATCCATCAACAGGCACTTGGACGACTACTAGTAACATGACTAATGCACGGTATTATCACACAGCATCTATATTATCAAACGGGAAAATATTAGTTACTGGTGGATACAATAATGGTAGTTATTTCAAGAGTACTGAATTGTACGATCCATCAACAGGTATTTGGACAGCTACTGGTAACATGAATAAAGAACGTACTTTTCATACAGCATCTGTATTATTGAATGGACAAGTATTAGTTACTGGGGGTGGACGCGGGGGTTTTAATGGTGCTTCAAATAGTGCTGAATTGTATAATTCATCAACAGGTATTTGGGCAACCACTGGTAACATGACTAATGCACGAGAATATCATACAGCATCTGTATTATCAAATGGAAAAGTATTAGTTACTGGTGGAATTGATAATAATGGTAATGTTTTAAAAAGTGCTGAATTGTATAATCCATCAGCGGGCACTTGGACAACTACGGGTAGCATGACTGATGCAAGATATATCCACACAGCATCTGTATTATCGAATGAAAAAGTATTAGTTACTGGTGGATCTGGTTATACTGGTGCTTTAAATAGTACTGAATTGTATGATCCATCAACAGGTATTTGGACAGCTACTGGTAACATGAATAATGCACGAGATTATCATACAGCATCTGTATTATTAAATGGAAAAGTATTGGTTACTGGTGGAAACGGTAATACTGGTATTATCAATAGTGCCGAATTATATTAATTATTTCAAACAAACTAACTTTCACTTATCTTGTTCTTTTTTTTGTAAGTAGTTTAAACTCCAGACAATATTATTTTATGACGTCCGCGAACTGTTTCCTTTCATATTTTTACTAAATTATCATTTACTTTAATATTCGATCCCAAATAAAAAGAAATATTTTTGATTTTTTACTCTTATATATTAATTCATTATAGTTAACAATACTTACAACCATTTTGAGGGTGTGGGAGTGAGTATGACTATTATAGCCATTGCACACCTGCACGCATACCCACACCCACAAGATAGTACAACTCTGCTGAGTCCCGTGTTTTGAAATGGCACTGAATGAATCTTGTAAATTATTTGTTAACAATATGACAGTAGAGTAAGACGTTCTATATTTTATAAGTAAATATTATGTTGTTATTCTCTTCTCTTATTCTGTTATCTTTGACTCATTGTTTCTATCAAAGAAATTTCATCATATTCTCAATTTTGTTTCTCGTATCTCATGCTATATAAAACCGTGTATGTCAATGTAGAATATATTACGTCATGACACACCTTACGGAGATCAACAACAATATTATTTCATGTCGGCTAGCCATTACAGACGACATTGATCTAATTTGCGGTTCTATCGATGATCGCGTATTTATTCCTGCTTTTCTTGAACGTTCTATCGCATCATCTCATTGTCATGTTGCTCTTCTCAATGGTTCTCTCATCATTGGTTATGCTGTTCTTGACTATTCCTTTTACGCCCAAGCTTTTATTGCAATGCTACGTGTTCATCCATTGTATCGACGGCAAAGAGTTGGTCTGACATTAATGCAATATTTGGAACAGCCATTTTTATGTACAACGAAGAAACTATTTACATCAGCAAATCTATCCAATTTAGCAATGCAATCATTACTAGCCAAACTACAGTATAAGCTGAGTGGTGTTATTCATAATTTGGACGACGATGGAGATTCAGAACTAGTCTATTACAAATCTGTAGCAGTGTAAATCCTATTTTGGTGTGAATTGTTCGAATTGCACAACATTTTGAATTTTCAAA